CCCAACCCATGTCTGACAGCTCACAACTGCCTGTAATAATCAAGAGGGTTTGATGCCTTCTTCTGGCTTCCAGGGATACCTGCATGCCCATGGTGGACACATACACACAAATAAAAATAGAAACCTTAAAGACAATGGCCCCTGTTCTTGTTGATAGATCTGTTTTCATTCCAGTGTCTCTCCTCAAGTGTCTCCCTCTTATGGTCTTGTCTTTTTCTGAGATTTGTTTCCTCTGGTTTTGGTAGTTTGGGTTTTTCTTTCTCTGTTTCATTCAGAGTACTTGTACCTTTTATTAGTTCTGGAAATGTTTCAGATATTACTTCTTGAACATTACAGCTTTCAAGTTCCTTCTCCTATTCCCTCTCTTTTCCCCTCAATTCTTACTTTATCTTGACTCATTTCCTGTCACTATTGGTTCTGTCATAGTGTGTGCATGTCTGTGTTCTGTGCCTTTTCTTCCATGTCACTGATCTCTTTTCCTCTGTTTTGGTCTGTTCTTGGTGTGTTTGTTAAGGTTTTCACTAAGACACTATGTTTCTTTGTAGAAGAGCTATTCAATTATTTTTCAAATGTGCCATTTTTCCATGTGTTTTTTCTTTTCAAATTCCTTCCGTAATGTCTTTGTACTTTCCAGCATATTTTGCTCTATAAGGTGGATTTCTGGAAGTGAGATTTTTTATGTTGCTCTAATATGGCATCGAGGTGGATTTTGACCTCCTGTATTCACAGGCGTTTCTTAGAATTCTCCACTGCATGGAATCTCGTGTGGTGCTGTTGTTTTGCTTTTGTATAGTGACTCTAGGTTATTACTGACAGGGCACAAACCTTATGTTAACATTTCAAAGTAGAAATGAGTAAAGTAGCATCCCAAAGTTATTAGAATAAAAGTGTATGTTTATCACAGAAGAAATTGTTTTCCTATCCAGAGATCTAGTCCAGATCAGCCTTTAGTGGTTTCTGTATGGCTAAATAGACATCCCCCCTTCTTTCACTTATAGTACATTATTCAAGAATCCCAGGTTATATAGAAGGCATGGTTCTTTTTATGTGTGTGAGTGTGTGTTTACAGAAGCCATCTAGAAAAGGCTATAGCAAGCAAGTTTCCTGGAGATGTTCCACCATTTGAATGCCTGCAATGGGTGCACGTTGCAGAGGCATGGCCTCGAGACTTTGTCCCAGGATTGCTTCTCAATGCTAATATGCCTTTCCTACTACTATTACATAGCCTAATGATTCTTGGGCATCAGCCTGCCCTATTGGGGAAATTTCCTGCAAATAACATGAAGATGACCTTTCATGAATTAATGCTGTTTAGATGAAGTAAAGACTTTATAGAATTCCTGATTTGATTCAAATACTTTTAGGAAGAAAGTTTAAGGAGATGGTTTTAGTTGTTCAGTTAGAAAGATGTAATAAAGTTAGAATCAAGAACAGACCCTGGGCCTTAAATAGGATGACTAACTCTGTGAAACAACAGATAGATAATTTGGTAGCAAAACCTATTCAGATACATTATCATAAGTTAGCTATAGAGGATCACGAGACTCAAGATGAGGTTGTTACTCTATCCAGGGTGTTCCCAAAACCCATCTCCACCCAACCTAAAAGGGGACTTCCACTCCTAGACCAAGCAGAGAGGGGCCACCCAGAACCCCCTCTGACTGGCGATCTGAATTCTTACTTAGGCTGCGAGGCTAAGCACTGCAAGGGAATATCAATAAAAGTTAAAAATATCTCTCTGGGTTCCCTGAGGGACAAGCCTGACTGCATAGGGGTTGATGTCAAAAGTATCCCCTCTCCAGGAAAAAGACATCAGGATGGGTATGGCCCTCATGCCTCACTGGACAACGACAGGGGGACCGGAGCCATTACAAGATCCCCTTCAACTACTGGAAGTCAGGCCTCTATCCTCGCCTTCGAAAGATTAGAATCACCACTATACTTAGAGAAGGGAGGAGATGTCAGGGGCAGCCCTGCTGATACACTGAAGGCCTAAAATCAGCCATAGGTCTAAAATCAGCAATAGGCCTGACATACATGCATGCTAACACAAACTCTTGGGTCTCTGTGGAATAACACCGAAACAGATAGCTATAAGCTACTGTAAACAGGCAGCTTTTGTGGAAATTTACCAGTTTGAGTAGTCATAGACCTTGTAAATAGGTAGCCTAGGAGGATAGTACCAACTTAGATAAGGACAAGTGAATCATAGGCAGAGTCATAGTGACCTGTCCCCTGAATATTCACCCAGCCAATATCCTGTTCTGAAAGATAACTGTACTTCCCCTGAACACCTATGCTCTGGTGTCATCCCTTCCCCACATCCTGCCTTTTTGTGTTTATAACCTCTGTGTGAATAAGTAAAAATTACAATTTGATTTTAAAAGAAAGAAAGAAAGAAAGAAAGAAAGAAAGAAAGAAAGAAAGAAAAGAAAAGTTAAAATAAAGAAAAAAAAACAGAATGTATCCCCTCATAGAATAGTAAGTAAAGGCTGTATAATAAAGAATACAGTGAGCTTTCATAAATTGCACTAAGAAGAGAAATTAGCTTGGGACAGATTTGTGATCCATGAAAAACACTCACTCTAGGTCAGGTCCAAGGATGAAGCCACAGGTGTGCACCGTGATAAAGCAAGGCCACGTGAAACTGTTGCCTTGAACTTACAATGTGCTTATAGAGTGAAACACTGCTTTGAACTTACTATCGCCATCCTTCTGTAATTCCCCTTCTCTGTAAACTTTTATCTATGTGTAATTTTATGAAGAACTTTTGTCAGAAGGTATAAAAAGGCTGAGAGAGAAAAATAAAGTGTGGTTGTTGAGGCTGTGTTCTGTCCACCAAATGGATATATGTCTGTGTGTATGTATGTATGTATGTATGTATGTATGTATGTATGTATGGAAACTTAAGAGTTAAAAGAGTTTAAAGTTTCTCTCTGGGCATTCTTGCAGCCCCAGATAATTAAGTTTTGTTCTGTCAGTAGTGCTGACCCCATAAATTGCCCACCACTGTCAGCAGAGTTTCAGGGCCAATTGGCTTCTATCAGCACAACCCTAATCACCAACACCATACCCCGTCACTGCCTGCCGCAGTTTATCCTATGATGTCAAAGTTGGTCTTTAACAGTGTGTGTGTGTGTGTGTGTGTGTGTGTGTGTGTGTGTGAGAGAGAGAGAGAGAGAGAGAGAGAGAGAGAGAGAGAGAGAGAGAG